CATTCTAATTTTAGTATGTCCTATTACACTTACTACATGTATGTAAAAATCACCATCACTTCATTCACTTGATTTACAATATTTTTATTTTTTCTTACCAGAGATTTTTCAAGTACTTGTGTATAGCTGCTAAAGTCCCCAGTGTTATTGATTTAGCTATGCAGTCATTAAAAGATGGAAAGGTTCTTAATCCTTATTTTTAAAATATTTTAAAAGTGCACTATGTAGTGCGTGGTGATTGGTCTACAGTCAACTGGTGAAGCAAGAACTTTAGAACAATTAGGACAGTCTCACGGTGAACTGGATGGCTTTGTATCAACTGCAAAGTTAGTTTTCACATTTATAATTAGTAATTAAATTGAATGGCTTATGTTAATATATACATGTACAATGTCAGTGTTTTCCACAAAGCATGCTAAGTGAGCTAAACAGCATGAGCTTCATGAGCTGACAAGCACTATAATACAGTACATGGCATTTGGAGCAACTTTAAAAATTCATAAAAAATCTAATTTTGATCGGAATCAGCTCAAACTTGATATACAACATAAGGACATGTATATGTATCAGAAAAAATTATTAAAATGGAGAATTCTCTCCTAGCCATTTTTGACAAAATTTGGCTTGTGACCAAAGGCTATAGCCTTTGGTCGTTGGCTCAATTTTTGAGCAACTTTAAAAATTTATAAAAAATCCAAATTTAATTGGAATCATCTCAAAGTTGGTATACACCATAAGAACATCTATATGTATCAGAAAAAATTATAAAAATTGAGAATTCTCTTCTAGTCATTTTTGACAAAATTTTGCCTGTGACAAAGGGCTATTGGTTGTTGGCCCAATTTTTGAGCAACTTTAAAAATCCAATTTTGATCAAAATCAAGTTAAATTTTCTGCACAACATAAGAACATGTATGTGTATCAGAAAAATTATAAAAATGGAAAATTGTTGCTCCATTAATGCTATAATTTATGCACAATGTACATTGTGTGGTTTGTTTCTCATTGTAGAGGTGTGCTGGAGTCGCTCATCAAAAGACACTTCCCAACACCAACTGGTGGAAATGACTGGTCTGTCTTTGAGAATGATTCCACTCTTCCTCGTAACTGCAGGAAAAGGAAACGAGGTATTGATCCTCTAAATGTAACTCAGACTCTTATTATGTTAATTTTATTAAGAGAAGCTCGTGTACAGTGTATGGAAAAATTTTAAGTTCCTGTGCTTAGCTTAATACTAATCTGTGAAACTTATGCTGTGTTTACACTACAGAAGTAGGCCAAACCGTGCTGAACCAGGCTGAGCTGGCCCTGCTGTACTAACCATGCTGGCCTGGTTTGGCCCAACTCACTTCAGCTCAGTTTGGCTACTGTCTACGCT